ATTAAAATGTTTTAAAATGTCTATAGGCAACCACAGGAGGATTAGAAACAGTAGATCATTGTGAGAGTCATTTTCGAAGGCTACATAGTTGTCAGATTATTAAATTTTGCTGCTTATATTCTGACTTCATGATTTTAGGATGCTAACCCTGTTGTAATTGAGCCATCATCTATTATGAATGGAGGGAAACATTCGTTCGGAACACCAGTACATCCTATGGAGCAGGGTGAAGACAGAATTGGTGGCAGCCTCAGTTATGTGAATGCCACAGAAGAGAAATTTTCAGACAACATTTCTACTGCATCTGAAGCCTCAGAAACTGCTGGCAGCGGTAAGTATGCCTTATTCCCCATGAGGTTTAATCATAGTTAGTTCTTAAGGGAGTCTAATTGGGCAGAGAGTGTGGGGATTGGGGTATTGGGTATCAGGCTTCCATTCACAGAAATAAATTTTGAATGAAATTATTAGTTATAAGATTCATGAATATTTTAATAGTTTTACTAAGAAAAGCTTTTTTATATTCTACTTCATTAATCTCTCGTTACGAAAATATTTTCACTATTTTTATTGATCAAGCCACATCTCTCCATATTACTGTTAAATTATTTAGTCAATACATTTAAATTTGGGAGGATAGTTTTTGAGAATATAAAATTTTCCACCTCCAGGACTCTCTCTACCTTTATTGGATGAAATGCACCCTCACGTCAGATTCTGTGGACATTTCAGGCCAGAATTTGGGGATTATTTTGTTAAAATACTAGAAAGAATTCCCTTCAGTCCTTGGTACTTACCTAAAACTTAGTCTTTCCACACTTACAGGGAAGATGGTTTGGTGTTTCTGTGGCCCAACTGAATTGAGTTGATTCCCATTATTAGGACCCCCAGTCTTACCCTGTTGTTATTTCCTCTGAGATTTTCTCTCCTTTTCTGTAGAAAGTGTAAACAAAGTGAACAGAGCTAACATTTTCTCTACAAAGCTCTTTGTGGAATCTACTGCTTCTTCTCTTCCTCTTTCTCATAATAGTATACAAAGGTCAGGTAGCAGTCCTAGAAGTGCTAATCAGCTTTAACACCAGATTATTGTTTAACCCTATCAAGATCCTGTGTGGTTTGTGCTCACCATATTACCTGTTACCCACAGGTGGAGCAGTACCACGGGTGGAAGGTTATAAAGTGATTGATGACTAGAATGTTTACCTAAGATTAACATGTAGTTGAGAGTTGAAATACCTTAAAATACCGTTAAGGCTCACAACTTTAAGCTATCGTTAATCATTTTTCTGTGCTTATTTTCCTATTATAAAGATGAGGATTTTCTTTCAAATAAAAACATTAGGATCTATCTAGCACCCTAGCACTCTTTTGTTGGAGTTCTTGTTTTAGCTCCTTCCCTTTAATCCAGAGACTTCCTATCACTACCATCTACCAACAATATTTGAAATGTGTTTGTAGGTAGAAGAAAATAATTAAAGGAGACTATGTGAAAGCTCAGCTATTAGGTCATTAAATATGAATGTCTAATTTCGAATCAAAAGTGTATAGTTTATTATATCTCAAACAAGAAGCAGTACAATTAATCAAAGTATGCACCAAAACTGTCAACACAGTTTTGCTATCTTAATATTAGCGTGTTTATGCCAGCAACAAAGAAGCCTGAAAAGCGAGTGGTGATGAAATCATGAAAGGCGTTTTCCACAGCTTTTTGAGAATTGAATATTTTTCTTTGCAAGAAGTGGTCCAAAGCCTGGAAGAAGTGGTAGTTGGTGCAAGGTTTGGTGAATATGGTGGGTAACAGAAAGTTTCCAAGTCTAGCTTCTGTAGTCTGAGCAGTGTTGTTTGTGCAACATGTGGTCAAGCATTGACTTACAAGAGGATTGGCCTGTCTCTGTTGACCAATCTGGGCTGCTTAATTGTAAACATCCTCATCATTTCATCCAGTTGGTTGCAGTGGACATCCGCTGTAATGGACGGACCAGGTTTCATGAAGCTGTAGTGGCTAATATCAGCACTGGCCCACCAAACAGACACCATTAGCTTTTCTTTCTTTTTTGTT